TGCAAATCTGATTGTACTAACTTCCTTCTACCACTTTTAACCATCTGTACCATTTGAAAGGGCCTTTTCTAAGTTTTTTTCTTCTTTGACAGTTAAATCACTGAGGACTTCTGCCTCTCTTATCTAATTGTTTCCTAGGCTGCATCTATTCCCTTATCTCCCCAAGGGTCATCCATACATTCCTTTACAGTCTCTCAATGTTTGTTAATTGCTGGTATAAGAATTCTTCTCCTTGGTCAATAAGATCTCCAGCATCCTCATGTAACCTCCACAAGGATGGTATTGGGTGGGGGCATATTATTGGGGAGGTACACTATAAGAGGGTATAGGTATTAAAAGCATTCCTGGATTCTATGAACTCAAGAAATGAGCCTTTTTCTCAGGTTCCACATACTTTAGATTCTCTAAGTAATGTAGCATTTTGCCAAGCTGCGTCAGGGATTGAGTTAGACATTAAATGTTTTCCATTGGTGGTATGCCTGGATATTTTGTGATTGTGGCATCATTAGCAACTTGAGTTTATTACCAAAGTCCCGAGTGCCTGGTAGGGCCAGATTAATTAATGGTTTTGTTGTGGAATGTATTGTCACAAATGTTTCCCTTAATTCATCCAATCTCTGTGTGGTATCTGCTTACTCTGAATCTGGCAATGCACCAAATGACTCAATCAACTTTACTTCCAGCAGACTCTCTAGCTATAGATAATGCAGTTTGTTGATTAGAGTTCTTCTTTCTGAAGGTCATTGCTAGTGAAGCATCCCCAGGTTATCTGGATTCAAATGGTTACATTTAGATTTTAAAGTGATAATACCTCCTTTGGAAAACTGAGTAGCTATCTCTCTACAGAAGACCAGTATTGGAAATATCAAGAAGATTCTCAAGAAGGGCTTCATTTTGGGGGAAAAAAACATTCAAGGGACTGTTTAAATGTTAGCTGAATTTGCATGCTGCCTCTTCTAGATGACATCCATTGTGCACTTAGTAGATTTATCAGTTTTTGCAATGAAAGAGCTTGTCCTTCTGTCCTTGGACAGAATTACTGCCTCTTTGAACTCCCGTTGCCTTCTGTTCACTCTGTTTTAGAGTTAAGCCCTCCACAATTATTTCTTTCTCTCCTAGCAGATTTGGGAGTGGAGTCAGCTCTAAATTCCCTGTTAACTGTTCATTGCTTGTTGGTGTGACCAGCAGGTGTCTTTATAGCTTTGGCTTTTTATTAGGGCAACTCTCAGTATATTTTACAAAGGACTCATTTAGTAGGTACAGCTTATTTTTTACTGGAGTCAAAAGTTTGAAGATCAAGATCAGTGTTTGTGTTATGAAAAGGCATTATCTAGTTTTGAAGATTGTTACCTCCTCCCTTTTTAAATTCATATCATCCCATCTTTCATAAGCAATGCAGCTACTGAACAGCAGCCTGGGGTGGAGGAATATTCTCTAGCAGGGAAGAAGAAAGTTCTATACGTGTCCCGTCAAAAGCGCGGACGACAAAAGCGCGATCGACAAAATCGCGCCTTTGACGTCATCAC